GTCGCGCCCCGCGCCGCCGGGGCTGGCGTCCACGCCGGCGGGCACCGGGTCCACGCCCAGACCTAGGAGAGGCCGGGGGGCCGTCAACAGCAGAAGATCCGGGCTGAGAGACCCCTCCCGAGGCCAGCTGGAGGGCCCGGCCCCGCCGCCCCTGGCCTCAGGCCCCACCCCTGGTCTGGAAGTCGTGCGGCCATTCCCGCCCCGCTCCGAGTCCGTACTTTCCCGCCCCGACCTCGGCCTCAGGCTCCACCCCGGTCTTGGCTCCACCCCTGGCCTCCGGGAGGTGGCGGGGCGCTTCCCACCCCCCCAGCCCACCTCCGCGGCCCTCGCCTCAACCTGCCTCTGACCTGAGGGTGGTGGTCAGGTCGACCCCTCCCTCCGCACCCTTAACTCGGACCCTGTACCTCGTTTCAGGCCCCCTCCCCCCCGGATTCCCACTTCCTCACTCTCCTCAACCCCGTCCCTGGCCCCAGGCCCCGCCCCTAATTTGGCCGGGTCTGACGACTCAAGCGCCCTCAACCACAAGCTCCGCCCCTTGACCACTGGCCCCGCCCCAGGTCAGGCTCCGCCCCTAGGCCAGACCCCGCCCGGAGCTCGCGACTCCACCCTCGCCTCGGAGCGGTGTGGTCACGCTCCCTTCACCACGCCCTTTAACTTCGGGTCTCCCATCCTTCATCCTCAACCTCAGGCTCCGTCTTCTTGCATGTGGCCTCTTCGGCCGGCGCCTCGTCTCAGGATAGCGTGGTCAGGCCTTTTCCATCACCCCCTCACCCGGCCTCAGGCCTTGCACCTGCCGCAAGTCACGCCCATTCCCAAGACTAAACCCTGGGTCCTTTCTCTCCCTTCTCACCTCCCGGCCCTGCCCTGGCCAGTTCCCGCCCGCTGTACCCGTCTTAAGCACTAGCAGGTGCAGCGCGTCGTCCTGCAGGTAGGAGGCGGCGGCGATCTCGTGCGTGGGGATCCGTAGGATGAGCTCCTCGTTGTCGCGCCAGGTGAGCAGCAGGCAGCGAGCCGACAGGCTCAGGATGCTGTCCTGCTCCGCCGTGGTCTTCAGCGGCAGCTCCTTCAGCTGCTGCGGGGTGAGTCGGATCTCCTGAGTCCCCAGGGCCGTGGGTAGGAGAAGGAGAAGCAGACGACAGAGACCCTGCCTCCTCCCTCCCCAGAGCCTCACCCTGGCCGTGTCCAGCAGCTGCAGGAGCTCGTCCCGGCTGGAGGGGTTCAGTGAGGAAGTCACCCAGGTGAGGTGGCCCAGGAACTGGATGGGAGATGGGGTGGGAGGAGAACACAGAAGTCACCTTGAAGCCTTGGAGGACCTTGGCCTCCTCACTGATGCAGTGCGATACAGAGATAAAAATAGCTCAATTAATAATAACCTGATAATAGCTTTTATTGAGCCCATAATAGAAGCCAGACACAGTTCTGAGTGCTTTTTATGTATTCACTCATTCATCCTTGCTCTAAGGATGGGAAAACCAAGGCACAGTGTGACTTGTCCCAGGATTATAGAGCTAGAAAGGGCAAAACTGAGTTCCACACACCAGATCCCACACTCTCAACTGCTAGCTTAGATTGCATTAACACACAGTCATTTAACCTTATAGGGCTCCGCAGGGAAGCAGAAGTCACTGTAATAGCTTGAAAGAACTGACCCCCTATGAATTTCCTCTGGCCTGAGTGGCTCTCTTCACCCCAGCGTCATTTCATACTGACTGCAAATCACTTGCCTTCTCGATGATCTTGTTGCAAAGTCAAATGGAAAGGGAAGAATGTTGTATCGAATTCGTATATTATATTTTGTCAGAAAAGAGATGTCCTAAATCAATAAATTAGTTCTTCATTCTATAACTTAACGTTATCACTTAAATGTTATTCAATATAAGAATTTTTTCCATTATTTTTAGTTGTATTCTTCTAGGTGAATTCCACCAATCAAACCTTCTCTCTTTTTATTCTCTATGAAATTTTAGTCCCCAATTTTTAAGTGGATTTATTAGTTTATTCCTCCATATAGGGTTGCCAGATAAAATACAGGATGCCAGTTTAATTGGAATTTCAGCCAGACAACTAATAAACTAAGTTTTTAAAATAGTTTTTAGTAGGGCCGGCCGGTGGCTCACTCAGGAGAGTGCGGTGCTGATAACACCAAGGCCATGGGTTCGGATCCCTATATGGGGATGGCCGGTTTGCTCACTTGGGAGAGCGTGGTGCTGACAACACCAAGTCGAGGGTTAAGATCCCCTTACCGGTCATCTTTAAAAAAAAAAAAAAAAAAGAAAAAGTTTTTAGTACTTTTAGTCCCATGAAATACTTGGGATATACTTATGCTAAAAAACAGCATTCATTGCTTATCTGATATTTAAATTGAACAAGATGGCCTGTGTTTGCTAAATCTGACAACCCTACCCCCATATCAACTTTCCTTGGTAAAATGAGGATCTACCACTGCTCTTTCATGGTGTCCACGAAATAGAAGTAAAGCCCTTGAGTTGTCAGAGTCCTTTGTGGTTTGCTGTTAACCTGGACACTGAGTAACAACAAGGTCACCGCAGTAAAATCTCATGGATAGGTAGGGCTTTTCTGTGCACCAAACCCTCTCCCATCCACTCTCCCCTGGGGGTAAGGTTTGAGTCCCATGGTAAGGTGGGAACACTGAGGCTCAGTAGGTGTAGGTCACTTGCTGTGGGTACAGCCTAAGGCAGGGTCGAGGCTGACATGAACCCAGACCTCTTTCTCATGTGTCACTGCTTCCCCTGTGTGAGACAGGACTGGTGAGGGGTTGGTATGGAGAACAGGTAAGATCTCTTCCTCACCCCAAGGTTGTCCCTCCCCTTCTCATCCCACACGCACCTTGACCTCTTTCTCCAGGTAGTCACACAGCAGAATCTGGGGGTCGATAAGGTAGTCAGGGGGATAAAGGGGCATCGAATGCAGGGGCCGGCGACTCACACTGCTCCGAAAGGCTGCCCGGCGCCCGGCCTTGGGGAAGACTAGCCTTCGGATGGGGGATACAAAACCCTGGGGGAGGACAGGTAGAATAACAGTAATTACAGTGGCTGACTTTATAGAGCACTTACTTTCCATGCTCATTGTTTTACTTACATTAACTAACTTAATTCTCACAAAACTCTGTAGACGTGGTACCCCTGTGATTCCCATTTTACAGATGGAGAAACTAAGCCCCAGGGAGGGAAATAGCTGATAAGGTCATTAGCTAGTAGTGGTGGAAGCAATAGTTCACCCTGAGCAGTCCAGGTTCAAAACCTCCATCTTAAACAGCCAAGTGGGAATGTGGCCCCTGCCAACCAGGTTTAAGAAACAGGGTAGAATAAGTAAATTTAAGTATAATCCAGGGGCACCAGCATGAAAGTGGCCTGGATCAAAATTAAAGGTGCAAATTCCAGGGCCCTGTCCCAGACTAACAGAATCTAAATTGCAGAGGAAAGTCTGAGCATTACTCTAGAGCAGCAGTTCTCAATGTGTGTCTCCTGGAGTGAGCACACACATTGCAGCCTCCAGCAGCCTCATCATCTGGGAACTTGAGAGAAATGCAGATTCTTGGTCCCCATCCTGGACCTACTGAATAAGAAACTCTGGGAGTAGGGCCTGCAATTAGGTTTGAACAACCCTCCAGGTGACTCTGATGCTTGCTCAAGTGTGAGAACCACACTTCAGAGCATTGCTCGCAACCCTGGCTGTACTTTAGAACTACCTGGAGAGCTTCTAAAACTCCAGACACCCAGGCTACATCCCAGACCATTAGAATCAGGAATCCTGGAACTGAGACCCTGTCATCAGGATTTTTAGGTGATTTCAATGAGCAGCTCAGCTGAAAACCACTAAGAATGTGCGGTATAATAATTTAACTCACACAAAATGAGTGTGAACAAGACAATACCCCTGCCCTCAAGGAGCTCATATTCTAGTTCAGGTAAACAGACAATACACAAGTCCATAAATGCATGTCTTCATTCCCTCACTCATCCAGTAAACATTTATTCATATTTGTATGGTGGGATCCTGTGCTGGGGGCTGGGGATTCAGTGGAGAACTGGACCCCATCCTTGCCTGCAGGGCTTGTGATAAATGACCTAAACTAGTGAGTTGCAAACTTTACTGTGCCCACTAGTTCTGATTCATTAGGGCTGGGTTGGGCATTTCTTTTTTTTTTTTTTTTTTTCCCTTTTTTCGTGACCGGCAACAGGATCGCAACCCTCGGTGTCACGCCCACACCGTGCTCAACCAGTGAGCGGACCGGTCTCTATATGGGATCCGAACCCTCGGCGGGAGCGCCACCACGCTCCCAAGTGCCGCACTCTACCGAGTGTGCCACCAGGCCGGTGGGTTGGGCATTTCTAACGAGCTCCCAGCTGATGCTGGTGCTAGTGGACTGCACACCACAGTTTGAGTATCCAGGATCTAAATGAGTGGTTCTCAAAGTGTGGCCCCACGACCACAGCAGCATCAGCACCACAGGGGAGCTTGGTAGAGATGCAAATTCTTGAGCCCCATCCAAGACTTAATGGATCAGAAACTGGGGTAAGACCCAGTAATCTGGGTTTTAATAAGCCCTCCAGGTGATTCTGCTGCATGCTCAGCTCAGGTTTTAGGACCAATATCTTGGAGCCTGGATGGGGTATGTGGAAGCTCTGAGAAATGAGAGCAAACTATCTGGGAGAAGGCATTCCAAGCAGAGGGCACAGTATGTGCAAAGTCCTGGAGACCTCAAAGACTGGATAACGATGTGCCTGGAGAAACCATGTGCAATCAGTCTGTCGTGGCTGTATTATGAGATGACCATGTCCTGGAGACCTTGAATGCCAGCTATGGAACTGGGACTTTATCCTGTGTATGTGAGTGTGTAGGGGTTGGGGTGGGGGGTAAATGCTTTGTCTGTGACCCTGAGTGGTCCAGCCCTGCCTACCTCTCCAGTCTCATCTTACCCCACACGCCCCCTCCAGCTCCAGGGCCATCTTTCAGTCCTTCCTACTTACTACATTCCTTTTACCACAGGGTTTTTGCACATTCTGTTCCTCTGCCCAAAACAACCTTCCCTTCCTCCTTTCCTCTCACCTGTCAGCTCAAACTGACCAGCCTAGGGCTGGGCACCCTAATATTCTATCTCCTGGCACTGATTATGGGGACTTTTATGCGATTTTACATTAATTCACTCATTGCCTTTAAAAAAAATTAATAGTTGCTTCTCCCACTAGACTGTGAGCTCCAGGGAGAGAGTAGGGACCTTGTCTGACTTTGCTTATCACTGCATCATCCCAGCACCAGGCACTGTGCTGGGCACATAATAGGTGCCCGGCACATAATAGGTGCCCAATAAATAGCTATCAAAAGAACAAGAGAGAACACGCACATGTGTCTTGGCTCCCTTCTGAGCCCTCCACGATTCATATGGGTACCTTTTAGAGCAGCTCTGAACCATATTTTCCAGGGGAAGAGGGCTGTGTGAGGATGAGGGTGGGGTGGGAGGTGGAATCTGTGGACCTCCCTGAACCCCAAAGATTACCAGGTAAGATGCCCAGAGAAGTAGATTACAAAACGTCTCAGAGTCAGGAAGGGGTGATGATTGGGGTGCAGGGTGGGGGTAGGGGTTGGGAAGTGACTCCTGGGCTGTGAGGCCTTAGCAGTGGGCCCTTGTATAAAGATGGGGTAGGGGTAGGGGTAGGTTGGACACAGCAGGGGAGCAGGTGGGAGACCCAAGCCTGGATAGGCAGCCTCCTAGCATAGAATTACCCTGGATGGGGTCCTTCTGTCTGGGACAGTGGGGAGCAGGGGAGTGGGTCTGCTGGGTGACTATCCTTCTGTGTGAGAAACTGCAGGAAGGAACCACCAGGGACACTAAGGAAGCAGGTTTGGAGTATCTCCCAAACTAAGTCTGTCTTGCCAGGTTTCCCATAAAGGTCCCTGTCTGTCTGTCCATTCCAGGGATGACAGAGGCCACTGACAGTAGAGAAACAGATTAGAGCCCAAATGTCTGGCTGTGCAAGGGTGGGAAGGAAGGTCCCTCCAAATGAGAAGAAAAGCCCCGCTTATGCCACTTGCTGTCCCCCACCTTGCACCCCAGACTTCTCCCCTCCCCAGCTTCTCCCAAACTCCCACCTACCTTCTTCCCTTTCTTGACTTCGTATTCCATGGTGAAGTGTTCCCTCTACTCCTGCCACCCTCCTGGCCACCCCCACCCCTTGTTCCTTTGTTCTTTTTCCTGCCTGATCGGAAACTCCACCAGCCCTGGAGTTCCTGCCCCTCCCATCTGATAGTGGTGGGGGGGTGGGGGGTGAATGGGGGCGTGGAGGACACAGTCTTGGGACCCTACAGCTGAAGGGTGGAAGCCCAGGCAGAGTAAGTGACCTGGGGAGACAAGGCCCCCAGCCAGAGGCATGCTATCGGGGGGATTGGGGGTTGGGTAAGGCCAGGGAAGGGTACCCCAAATATGGAGTCCAAATCTAGAAAATCCCAAGTTCCAGCCCTACTTCTGTCACTGACTAGCTGTGTGACCTTGACCAGGCAAGTCAGTCCCCACTTTCAGAGCCTGTTTCCCCCTCCCCTCTATAAATTGGGAGTAAACATTGTCTCCCTTCCTGGGCTACCGTAGTGAGAAATGAATGAAAGAGGGGGTGGAGCATGCTTCATAAACTATGGAATACTGTGTCCAAGCAAGTGATGATTTAAAAATGTTAATTATTGCTGTTAAGGGTGGCAGTGTGCGTGGGCTTTGGAGACAGGCTTCCTGAGTTTCAATCATGCTTTGCCACTTAGTAGGGTTGTAACCTTGACCACCCATGCCTCAGTCTTCCAATGTATAAAATGGGCATAACACTAATTTGACCTCATAGTGAACTTGTAAGGATTAAATATACTTAGAAGAGCTCTTGGCACGTATTAAGTGCTTAATAAATATTAAATATTTACCAGTCTATGGGTCCTGGGTTGTTTTACAGTCTCTTGGGAGAATATTAGGGAGGCAAGGCCCCCTTCATCGATCTGTGCTGAGCCCTTTACAAATTTCATCTCACTTATTCCTCACAATATTGAGGTACCATTATCACACCTGTTATACAGATTTTAAAAACTGAACTCAAGTGCGGAGCCTGGCTCAAGGAGGTCACAAAGTGAATAAGAAGACCTGGGATTTCTGGCTGGTCTGGATCTGAAGCCTAGTGTTCCTTATCTCTAGGACCTATGCACTCTGCACGCCCCACCAGGGACTGTTGGAAAGGTTCTGCGTGGGCCATCCACATCCCCATGACACCCGGGTTCTGGAGGCCCATGCTCTGCAACTGACTTGCTGTAGGACCCAGGACAGGTTGTTTATTGTAACCTCTCTTGGCTTCAGCTTCCTTACCTTTCCAATGGGAACAATTAACCCAAAAGCTCTGTCCTGCTAGTCAGAGGTATGGCAAGAAAGATACAAGGCCATGGATGAGAAGGCAGTAGAAAAAAAAATTTTAAAAAAAAAAAAAAAAAAAAAAAAAAAAAAGGTAAAGTGAAGGTGCCAGTGCACTGGATTGTTTTGAAAGCTTTTTTTGAAAGTGTGGGTGTGATAGGTCAGTGTGGTTGGAGGGAGGGTCAGAGCTCCTTGTTGCATCTGGGTGTGAGAGCTGCAGGAGACTCTCTGCCACCAGCAGTTCTCCTTTCTCTCCCTCCCTGGGAGCTGTAATGGCCCAGACTGCTTGGTGCGGGCTCCCACAGCCACTCCCTCCTGCTCTCCTACATCCTGCCAGGCACCTCCCAGGAGCAGGAAGTGAGATCTCCGCTCAGCTTGCTGGGCCAAAGGAAGAGGCCAGGGTGTGTGAGCCAATCCCTGACCCTGCTCTGGACATCAAAACTCCCACTGAACCCCTTAAGCCAGTCCAGAATTCCCACCCTCTAGTGGCAGCAGGGCAGGAAAGGTGGTCTCTTGCTCTCCATGACTGGCATTTGCCAGCCTTTTCCTCTCTCTGGGCCTCAGTTTCTCTATCTATAAAATGGGAGCTTATATTATTCCTGGACTTACTCCAAACATCACTGAACTCTTGGGAATCTTAGATAGGACAGTAAGTGTTTTGAATGCCACTAGAAATAGAAAACTCTCTCTGTATTCCCTGCAGTGCCCACCCCATAGTCAAGAACAGATGAAGCACTTAGTAAATGTCAGTGGAAATGGTTGGAGACAGGTGGACCTACATTCAAGTATGTATGAACTTGAACAAGTTACCTCATCTCTAAGAGCCTCAGAGTCCTTGTGCGTCAAAAGCAGGATAATGAAGCACTTAGTAAATGTCAGTGGAAATGGTTGGAGACAGGTGGACCTACATTCAAGTATGTATGAACTTGAACAAGTTACCTCATCTCTAAGAGCCTCAGAGTCCTTGTGCGTCAAAAGCAGGATAATGAAGCACTTAGTAAATGTCAGTGGAAATGGTTGGAGACAGGTGGACCTACATTCAAGTATGTATGAACTTGAACAAGTTACCTCATCTCTAAGAGCCTCAGAGTCCTTGTGCGTCAAAAGCAGGATAATGAAGCACTTAGTAAATGTCAGTGGAAATGGTTGGAGACAGGTGGACCTACATTCAAGTATGTATGAACTTGAACAAGTTACCTCATCTCTCAGAGCCTCAGAGTCCTTGTGTGTCAAAAGCAGGATAATGATGATTCCTGCCTCAGAAGGCTAAGATTAAATGGGAACAGAAGCATACAATGATTACATATATTATTAAAATTAGCTTGAGAATCAAACAAAGCAAAACAAAGTCCATGCTCACAAAGACTTAACAGTTGTGGCAGATAGGATTCATCTCTTTTGAACCACCTACAGTTGATTGATTCAGGTAGCCTGGATTGCTGTGTATAGTATTATAAAAACCAGATCTACTCCCAGCAGGCAAAAGGGATCAATTATCAATGCCTGCCACGGGCAGGAGCGGGGAGCACAGCAGTAGGTGGGCCGTGCATATGCTGGCCCTGATCTGGCTAGAGAAAAAGACACATAAGCAAAGGATTTTAAGGCAAGCGACTTGTTTGGGGAAGGCAAATCAGGAGCCATTCCCCAGCCCATGGAATTAAAGCAGAGTCTTGAAGGGTGGATGGAAGAGAGGTAACTCTAGGTAGAGGAAACAGCTTGAACAAACACATAGTGACTGAGTTGTGATGCTTCTGACTGCAAGGAACCGACCACCCGACCACAGGTGGCTTAGACAAGAAGGAAAATGTGTTATCTCTCAAGGCAAGAAGGCCAATAATAAGTGTTTTCATGGCTGGTTACTTGAGCAGCTCAACAATGGCATCACGTTCCTTACATATTCTACTTTACTGGTGTCATTGGCTGAATTGTGTCTCCTTCCCCTTCCCCTGACATTTACATGTTGAAGCCCTAATCCCCAGTACTCTACCTAATGATATTTGGAGATAGGGCTTTGTATTAGTCAGTTCTGTGTTGCTATAACAGAAATACCTGAGACTGGGTGATTTATAAAGAACAGAGGTTTATTTGGCATCTGGCACGGGCCTCAGGCTGCTTCTAGTCATGGTGGAAAGTGGCAGGGAGCCGGCGGGTACAAGCAGATCACACGGCAAAAGGAGGCAGGAGAGAAAGAGAAGGTGCCAGGGTCCTATAAACAACCAGCTCTCGCAGGAACTGATAGAGCAAGATCTCACTCACTACCCCTCCTCCCCCAGGGAGAGCATTAATCCATTCATGAAGGATCTGCCCCCATGACACAAATTGCCACATTGGAGATCAGATTTCCTTGAGTTCTGGGAGGACGATACATCCAAACTCCATCAGGCCTTTAAAGAGGTCATTAAGGGGATGGCTGGTAGATCCATTAGTTAGAGTGAGGGGTTATAACAACAAGGATAAGGGTTTGGATCCCCCTACTGGCCAGTTGCCAAAGGAGGGGTGAAGAGGTCATTAAGGTAAAATGAGGTTCTTGGGGAGGGCACTAATCCAATCTCACTGGTGTCTTTATAAGAAGAGGAAATGTGGACACACACAGGAACACCAGAGGTGTTCTTGCATAGAGGAAAGGCCATGTGCAGACACAGGGAGAAGGCAGCCATCTACAAACCAAGGAAAGAGCCCTCACCAGAACCCGACCTTGCCAGTATTCTGGTTTCAGACTTGCAGTCTCCAGAACTGTGAGAAAATAAACTAATGTTTAAGCCACCTGATCTATGGCATTTTGTTATGGCAGCTCGAGCAGGCTTATGCAACTAGCAAGATGGTTGCACCGGCCTTAGGAGTAACAGGCATGATGTCATCCAGAAAGATGGGCCCAGTTTGTGAAAAGTCAGGCAGAAAGGTTTGGTACTAGGGAGCCATGGGAGGTTCTAAAGCAAGGGAACACCATGATTAGGTCTGTGGGAGGATGCATTAAAGTGGTGGTCCTCAAAGTGAGGTCCTAAGACCCCCTTGCTCCAGAATCCCCTGGAGAACTCTAAATGCAGATTTCCAGGCATGTTCTGTCCACCACCTGGTTAGGGAGCCAGAAATCTGCATTTAAAATAAGCTCCCTCCCTGCTAAGTGATTCTGATGCACTTTGAAGTTTGAGAACCACTGAATTAGAGTGGTAACCCTAGAGGTAGGGGAACTTTTAGAGGCAATACTCCCTAGAATGTAAGCTCCTTGAGGGTAGGGGCCATGCCTGTGTTATATCTTCTTTTTTCCTTGTGCCTAGAACTTTGGCACATAGGGACACAATATTTGTTTTACTGGAGTTAGGAACTTCAGTCTGGGTCTTGATTTTTGTCATGGAATCATTCTGTGATCTGACAAGTATGCCCCATCCCCTCATGTCTTTTTTCCTTATCTGTAAAATGAGATTGGAGATAATCCCTAAAATTTTTGGCCCTAAATCTGTTTGATTGATTGAGACTCTGTCCAATCAACAGGGAACTTTGTGTAATGTCCTGCCCTTTCCCAGCCAAATGCCTTTGTCTCTTAAAGGAGCCACAGGGACTGTGGCAGGTGATATCCATACTCCCCAGCCCTCCCTCATCTTCTTCCCCTGGCCCAGAACAGCCAAAACAATAGGACACAAGCAGCACATACTGAAATGACTTTTAATATCTCATGTCGCAGCAAAATTAAAAATATACAAAAAGTTTGTGGTGTACAAAAGAGTCTCAGTACAGAAGCCCCAGTTTGGGGC